GCACAGAACAGTGGATTTTATCATTAGTTTAATTTGTTAGAACATTACCTCTAAATGTTTTGTATGACATTATTTCTGGGTTTGAATAAATCCATGGATTTTTTTAATATGATGACTTTGTGTATTAAGTGATTTTAATTTAATCGACATTGTTGTTTCTAATTGTCATTTGAAATTGACCTGTATTAATTACACAATTGTTTCAAGCAGTACTCCTTTGTAGATTCCCTTTTAGTCATATTTTAGATGGCAGATTTCTAGATATAATAGGTTTTTGAAAAGCTGTTCAGGAAATCTAGTGACTGAATTTCCCTTGGTATGTGTCAAGTATGCATCTGTGTCAGTGTCCCATAGTGTACTGGTAGTATGTGTATGTATGGGTCTAATTTGTGCTATGTTGAGTGTCTCTGAAGAGATACTAGATAACCATAGTGCTGCTTGAATTAGTGCCTGTTTAAAATGAAAGGATGTACACTAGCCAGAAGAAAACCTTCCTGTACATTTTTTTTTTAAGTACCTAAAGCATTGTTTCAGTGTATTACTCAATATATTAGTGTGTATGCATTACCTGGTACATTTATGCAGTTCAGAAGTGTGTCTCTAATAAATTCAATTGGCTATATATGTTTTATAAGCGTAAACACTGTGTAAAGGTTTAGAATGGTCTCTGGTGCTCGAAAAATACTCTGTGGTATGGCGATGACAAACTTTCCTGAGAAGAGTGATTCTAATGGTGTCTAGGACAGTTTGGAGATGTGGTGTCAGAATGGTCTGGGCATTGACTGTTTTTATATAAAATGTTTTTTGTTTAAGTTTTACAAAGATAATCAGACAGTGTTATCAAGTTTGAGAATCTGTTTTTTTTTCTTTTCTAAATTCAAAAAATGAAGGCTCTTTTGTTCTGGGTCATTTTCACAGTTGTCGGGATACCGAACTTGCGCAATTCATAATACAGCTAATAAGTCTCTTCTTATGTTAATCCTAACATGCAAAGCCGTGCAGTCAAAGTCCTGTTGCTGCTGGATTCTAGCTCTATATGAGTCATCCCCAGTAGCCGTGAGTACCATACACTCCAGATTCAGCTGGATTGTAGGCAGCAAATCCTTTAGTCTGATTTAGTCATTTGCAACTCTGAAATGCTCCAGGTATTGATTGCGCAATGGCCTGGTGTATTTCTTGTTTACATTTACGTGAAGCTTTTGTTTGCTGGACAGCCTGTTTTAAACTGTGTGAAGTGCTCTTAGCAACAACTGCCATTAACAGAAGCATCAAATGTCTTTTTGGTAAATTAGCCAGTGATGCTACCGATGTGACTTTGGAATGCTGTTTAAAGCCTAGGTATTCTTGTACGATATTGAATGTGTGGAAAAATAGCACGTTTTGTGTATTTGCCTGGCTGCTGCATGGCTACCTCTGGCCTGTAAATAGCGCAGTCATCAAACTGGTGTGAGTAGAACAGTGTTAACTGGACTTGGGCCTGTGACCAGTACAGGACCAACGAGGGTTTAGAGTTGGTGGCCAATATTATGTAATCAGTATGACTATTGTAATCTTTCAGCTGAGATTCTTGTTAGATCCTCTGTGGATCCTATCTGTATTGATTAAGGTTGGTATTGGCACAGATGCCCTGACATGATCCTGATTCACAAGCTAACGATTTGATTCAGTCCAATTTCAGTTCAATCCTAATTTGATACCAATCCGATAGGAATGAGATATGAAATGCTATAGCGGCTTTACATATTTTGAGCGATGTTTAAAAAGGCCTCGATGGATTACAAATTTACAAATGCAGAGTCACTTGTGCAAACTACTAAAGAAAGGCCAAAAGCTTGTATACCAAAATCTTTGTTTGAAAGTATGTATACTTCCTTAAAACAAAACCAACCTGTCTCCTTTCAAAGCACAAAAAATGACCTCTGATGGAAAAGAATAGCTGAAAATAAAGTCGAAATCTCACATGCCATTTTTCAGAAGGACTAACTTAATGATATGTGCCAAAACATAAATTAGAATCTTTTTAGGGCTGGCAAAATTGACAATTCGATTTGCAAGTGACCAAATGGATTAATTTTTGATTCTGTTCAAATCACGTTTCGGACCACATTCACTAATGTGAAAACGATTTGCTGTAAAAATGACAAAGCACAACCCTGTGGTAGTAACATTGCAGAACAAAGCAACATAGTTACCATTATATGATGAAAATAATGAAAAACAATACCTGAAATGTATTTTTGTGCTTACTCATGAAATCACTGACACTTCGTCCAAATACACTGCATATTTCATAAAAAATTTGTACCCAGGCAGAAATAAATTATAACTCCAGACTTGTTTTCATTTGCTTTAGTATTATCCACAAGGTCTGAATAAAGATAATTAATAATATCTCATAATTGACAGCAGGTCACATCCAATAATGTTTTCTCTCTACATCGTTATTTTGTGTCTGTAAGCAGCCTACCGAATATGATTGGTGTGACAATAATGCCCTATTTGACCTGCTTGCATTCATGTGCTGGCATACTCCATTACCATGACTGACAACATGCCAAGATGATGGCGCGAGGCCATTGCACAACACTGTTGTAGCCCTCCTATAGGCAAGAGAGAAAATAGCACCACGTATATGATGAGGACCGATACAAGTAACATTTCACGGGGATTATGGATAAATTAACTAGATCGATAGATTTTGCTAGGTTGAAATGAACTTTGACTATCCCAAATAAAAAAGGGCAGTAAAAAAATAATAAATTGACGTTCTAAAATCGGAAACCCTAACATTTCACATTAAGCAAACCAGCCGCTACAAGGCAGCATTAACTGGGCACCAGCAACGAACTTATGACACTGCAGTGTCATATGACAGCCTAAAAATAAAATCTGATTTATTTTTTTTTCCAACCTATGCCAGATTTACAATTATTTAGGTTATTTTTATCATTAAAATAAGTTTTTCCACAAAGTACTGCTGTATAGATGGGCAGGGCTACTTCGGTAAAATACTTCTGGCTTGGTAACTCGTATCTAGGATCGATTCCATTTAACATCTGAATTAACCTGCTTTTTCCCCCACTGTGTATATAGGCACCAAATCTTTGGTAATATGAAATGTCACGGCATATGTAATTTCTTTCAATTCAATTCAATTTTATTTATATAGCGCATTATCACAACATTACATTGTCTCAATGCGCTTTACATTTCTGCCTCGTAAGTACCCCCCAATGAGTAAGCCAAAGGCAACGGTGGCAAGGAAAAACGAGGAGGAAGAAACCTTGGGAGGAACCAGACCCAAAGGGGGAGCCCATCCTCCAGGGGCCGGCAGATGAGTCAAACAAACAAGATGAAATGACTAAGCTAATACAGGGGTTGAAATATATGTCTCAATGCTTTCCACTTGGGTCCATTCTTATCGTATGGAATGTTACATGAAAAGGTCATTATCGTTACCAGTATCGTTACCTGCTTTTTAGCGGGATTTTGGAGGCTGCCGCTAACTTGCTCATCTCTCATAGCTACGCACTCCTGCCCCTCTGCTGCGTGCCTGTCCGAGATGCCGAAACAAGTTTGTTGTGCTGCTACCTTTAGTAGCCACAGATTCCAGACAAACTTTATGGACAGTTTGTTCTATGTTGGACTTTGGATAGTCAAACCTCTTCCAAACAACTGAGGTGACGATGGCAGTTCTTGAGACGAGCTCTTCTCATTTTGACGCATGTGCTGCCATTTTGCTCTGTGTGTCGGTGTACAAAGGGGTGGAGGGGCTTGATAGAGAGCAGTCTGGCATGCTGTTATTTACAGTGTCCCCCGAAACTTAAAAAAACAAATCGTATTCATAAATAAATTTGGGAATTTCACTGGCTCCTTGTTAATTACCCAGTTTAAAATGATTTGTGATTTTCTTTCTAAACATCGCCTTGAACCAAGAATTCGAATTAATCTGTAAAATCGATTTATTGCCCAGCTCTACCTCATATAAGACAGCTGGCTGCATATAGCTGTAAATCCTCCTGAGACCCAAGGAAAAAAGTGTCCTTCAATTTTAGGTTATTTGTCTTTGGAGGAAATAAGACATCTTAAATTTGAAAAAATCTAAATTGTATTTTTATTTTTAATTTCACAACGTCCTCTTTACTGTACAACAGGAATAAATACGTTTCCTTCTATGAGTGAAAAGATAGATGCAAAAACAAAATGTCCACTACAATGGACATAAATGAATGGGTGGGGTCTTAGGAGGATATAGGTTCCATCCAGTAATATTGGTTTTCTTTATGTTGTTGCTTTTCATTCTCTTTTATATAACATTTATATAATTTTACTTTGCGTCACCATATGCAGTGTACTGAATATGACTGGTGTGATGATAGAGCCACACTTGACTTGACTTGTTTGCTTTAAGGTGCTCGGAGTACTCTGACCATGACCTACAATGCACCAAGATGGCCGCACGAGGCGATTGCTCAGTAAACTGCAAACCTCCTATAAATCGAGCTTTATGCATACGCCTCCTAGCAGACAAACCGTCGGCAACTCGCTAGTTCGGTGGTCAAAGTTTTTCCTCCAAATAGCAAATCAAAGGAGCCGAAAAAGCAAATAAAGGGAATTTTATTTTACTTTAGGGATCATTTATGATAGCCCTTTGGGCAGGGTGTTGTTAAGTTTTGGTAGCCCGACGGGAGCACTCGATTGTCCTGGGACGTTGGACTAGTGATTTTGCAGGCCCTGTTAATCCATACTTGAGTCTGCTATATCTAGCCAGTGCTGTTCTTATTTAGTTTGACTGCCTCCCTTGCTGTCTGCCAGGAAACACTACATTTTGGTTTCTTCCTTTTGTCTTCCTCTCCCCTCCTTATCAGCTCCTGTGGAATGAGCAGTGCTGCTTATCCCTTTTTAGATCTTAATTATGACCGTTCGGGGATTAGCACCTTTTAAGGTAGTACCCCATGTGGGATAGTGGATGAAATGGAGCATGCTCTGATAAGCCATACCTTTTGCTCTGAGAACATGGTGAACGGGAAAAGCTTCCAAAGAGCTGGAAAATTTCTGCCATTTGAGCTTGCTAGGGTTCCTCTTTGAAGGCAGCCATTTAGGGCGGTGGATAGTGATGTCAGACCCAGAGGAGGCAGGATCCCCACCTGGCTGGCAGTTGTTTGAGCTTGCCCTTGTTCCCCCCTGGCTCCCCTGTGCAGCGCACTCCTGCTCACTTGGCCTCTGATAATGCCCGCAGGCTTCCTCCGCTCTGACCATGTACGGCACAACGAACGACCCAAATTTGGCCAAGCATTCCAGCCGGCGCCCCGTGTGCAGGGAAGGGGAGGTGGCTGCGGACTTGCTGAGCGGGTGGGGGGGGGGGGAGCTCCTCCTGTGACTGAAAACCGAGCCGTGCGCTATGTGTTGGAGCACCCACAGCTCCACGTTTGAATGTGTCACAAAACCCTTTTGCAGGGCTTTGTTCGGTAGCGTGTCGTTTGCAGCACAAAACTGGTCTTCCGATGTTTCCCAGGTACTTTGCCGTGGGTGGCAGACTGACAGATGTTCTTGTCCGAGCGATATCATATACTCTGAATGGCTGAGCTGTACCTGACTGAGTCCCCCCCCCCTCAGTGTTGTCACTGGCCCTAGATCTTCTGTTAAACTGGGGTTGCCCCTGTCTGAGTGTTGGCTGGGGAAGTTCTTCTTTGCTAGGCTCCTGTATGAACAGGGGTTTCAGTTGTTCAGGGATTTGAATGGAGGAGAATCAAGCCCAAGAATTATACAACCAAATCCGTCAGGCCTGTTTTTCACCCTTTCCCAAGACATTTATATAACCAGGTAAAAGTTGCATCTATTGTAGTTAGTGATGCTTTTGCAACAGCTTCTCTTCTGAGGGTGAGGGTGTTGGTCTTTTTGGCCTTAGCCACATGAAAATGGGATGCCCAGGTTTTTGTGGTAGTTTCTTACAGTTCAGGGTGGGGGGAGTCTTGAGCTTACTCCCAAGTTCCCCAGTGGTTTGTGATGCACAGCTGTCTCCCCAAAGGCAGGTTCAGGCTTTCTCTTCTGCCACCGTCCTAGTGCAGGGACTCAGCTGGTCATACAAAAGCACTGTGCATTTAATCACTGCCGTTTCTTTTTTCGCTTTGTCACTCAGCTGTTTTTCCATTAACTCACTGGAGTTTTACCCATTTTAGGCTGTTTGTTTTCGCTTAAATAGTTTAGGTGAAGAACTTCATTGCAGCTTCGCTTTTCCTTGCCATTAACCAGTTGCCAGCAGCCTCTTTGCATCAATTGGAGCAACATTTCTCCTTTGTGTCCCTGCAGGCCTGCATTGACGACAACGTGGACATGGTCACCTTCCTGGTGGAGCACGGTGCCTGTGTCAACCAGCCTGATAATGAGGGGTGGATCCCTCTGCATGCGGCTGCTTCCTGCGGGTATATGGACATCGCTGAGTAAGTGTAATCCCCCTGGTCAGATTCTTCACTGTGATAGGGTATTGGGTCAGAGCTGGTGTGTAGTTCCTGAGGGGCGTATGTGCCAGAAAGACTGGAGGTGCCACACATCTCTGGTTTAGCTGCGTCTCAAAGCCGCTCGTTTTAGTCTCCAGCGTTGCTTGGGCTCCAGATGGTGTGAAAGACAGCCCAGAGATAGATGTGTCCACTGGCCACTATGGTTTTTTAAGGCTTAGATGGGCCTTGTATTCTGGTTCTTCCTCTGAGAGCTCTGGTACTGCTGGCTAGTTCCTGGTGGCACAGGTGAAATTCTCAGCTGAATCCATGGTTTTCCCTGCTGTGCCATTGGTTAGTTATTTCTCATGAAATGCTGGGAGTATGGGCAGCAGATGAGTAACAACTAGATATGAGTCCCTCCAGTGGTTATCTATTTTGTGCTGTGTATGATCTGTATGTGAAGACCTCGCCGTACTGTTCAACTTATAGGGCGTCTTGATTTTTGAGCACCAAATGCATAGACGCCCATTTCTCACATGTGTTGATCACTGGACTAAATTAAAAGCTTGTGGTTCTGAACGGGTGTTAAGCACACTGTGGTTTCCTGATATGCAGCCCAGCCCAGGGGGGTGGTGGTAGTGATGTCTTTGCAGACAGGGAAGTGTGGAACTAGGCAGGCTTGATGCTTCAGCTCTCTGCTCTCAGCAATTATGGTGCTGCCCGTCCCAGGAGGGGCTGCGCTTTTGTGCTCTTGACCTTTATTGCAAATAAACAGTGGAATGTAATAGATGGAATAAGGAGTCGGGAGTATGACAGTGTTTTTGCAGCTGGGACTGTGTTTTGATACACGGCTTCATATGTTTTGTCTGATCTTAAAATGGCTGGGCTATTTGGAGCAAAATGAATTGCACAGAAATCTTGCCGGCTGTGGCATGACCGCCCAAGAAGGCTGCCGGTTCGCCGGCCCCGATCGTCTGATAATTCCGCAATAACCTGTTTGTCCCTGTGGCACTGCATTTCCTAACAAGGGGATCTAGGTGTCGGGCTTACCGGATGGTGGTCGTTTCCGCTTCCGTAAGTGGCACTGTTCACGGACCCAGAGAAAGCATCCTGATTTTGACGGAGCCCTCTACCCAGCCCTGCTTTTTAGCTGATTTACTGCAGAGACATGAATCTGGTGTCTTTAGCAAGGAGGCTGTGTGTGTAGGTTGTGTTCTCATCACAACCAGGATCCATTCAGCACCGCTGGGTTACGCTCAAGTATCCACTACCCAGCCCTGGGAGTAATGGGGCTCCTGAAGTCACTCTGGTATGACGATCGCACGCTGTTGCACACTTCCTTCTCTAACTCTCTTCCCTGTGGTTTTATTGGTTCCTGTTAGGTTAAACCAGGTAGTGGTCAGCAGGACGCAGTAACCTGATCCCCCATGTACAAAGTCTCTCTTCCTTTGTTCCTCAGGTTCGCACTTTAACTATCCCCACATGAAGAAACCTTACAGTGTAGATCATGGGCACCCAACGGCAGTCAAAATTAAAACAGTGACACAAAGCTAAGGTCCACTTGCCTATAGCCAGACATAAGTTTCATGGGGTGTCCAGCAGCCTTTCTGATTTCAACAAACCTGTAATTTTTTCCAGTGGTGTGGGTGGGGCTGGTTGATAAAAATTTGCTGAGTGGGGTAGGGAGAGGGGTACCAGTTATGCTGAATGGAGTGAATTATGGAGGCTGAATTGAGTAATATGGGATATGAAGTTATTGTTGTTTCACCTCTTACTCCATATGGTTGTTAGGCTTGTTTTGCAGTTGAATGTGATTTAATGCTGGATGACATACCCAGTGACTGGGTCAGCATGGCTCAAGGCTCAGACTTGTGCATGTTTCATCCCTGAATGTGAGGCATCTCAAGCCTTTTCACGAGGTTAGAAAATGTATGGCGATGTCCTGCACCGCCGTTATCACTGTGGTGTGGCTGCAGCACTCCTTTGCCGTACGCAGATGGAGAAGCATGTCACCATGAGAGCCGTGACAATGTGTCTATGGTATGTCCGTGGACCCAACAACTGTATGCAAACAGTGAAGAGTCTTTAAATGGATCAGTCTGTACTGGTTTATAGAACCCAGAATTAACTGAAATACTGAAGCAAGCGTTTTATTTAGGAATAAAAGCAGTTAGTTTGTTTCTTTGGTTTTGGTTTGATCTGGGAGTTTGTGAGCGTGGTGAAACGTGCAAATTATTTTCCGGGGTAGAAACTGAGTTAAACTCTCAAATATAGGAACCGGAAGTAAATGCTTGCAGGTTTTGAGACTATGATTCTGAGCAGAATGTGAGTATCAGTAACCAGGTGCCAAGAAGGGGGGCTTTTCCGGGAGGTGACAGTGCTTTGGTCCGGGGGGGGGCTTCCATTGTGCGTCTCAATGCGCTCTCTAACTGGATTCCTGTTAGACAGTGATGAGGGTCTGCAGGTGAGCCCCTTCCTGTCTTGTATGTGACCGTGTGCAGAGTAAAGATGGCGGCGGGCGTGAGTGTGTTCGCGTAATGCTGGTAGATCCATCCAGCCAGGGCCGAGCCAGCTGATGGTTACTGCTGTTTGTATGCCATGTCTGTTCCCATGGAGCAGCATATGGGCTTCATGGCTTCTATCTCTCTCATCTTTTCGGTGCAAGTTGGCCAAGGTGCATGTCTGGATATTTTAATGGTGTGTTGAGGCCTGGCTCCTGGCTGCACGTAACGCTCTCCAGGGTTGGCTTTCAGGGCCGTGTTTTCTCGTGTCTGATCTAAATGAGGAAGTGGGGCACTTTTTAATAGCAGTGACTGGTAGCACTGCTCCAAACTGAGCCAGCTCCTTAAACCGACAGCGCCTTTTAGCAGCAGGAGGTATGTGTCTGTTTCCCCAGTATCCATCTCTTTAACTGTCCTTACACAGCGCCCTCATGTGGTCTGCCTTGTAAATGTCAGATTTGTGTCATTGATTGATCACCCCCCTAAACTGTCCTGTGTCCTCTGCAGGTATTTGATCAGCCAAGGGGCCAATGTGGGCGTGGTCAACAGCGAGGGTGAAACCCCATTGGACATTGCTGAGGAGGAGGCTATGGAAGAGCTCCTGCAGAACGAAATCAACCGCCAAGGTACAGCCCCGCGAGAAGCTCCCCTTGCAGTTTGCCCGTCACAAGGTCTCGGCCGGGCTTTTCCCCAGTTATGTGATTGTGCGTGGGCCTGCCTTTGCTCGCATGGGGAAAAGGCTTGGTGAGCTCTGTAATGTCAGTACAGTCAAGCAGATGTTAATTTCTGTGCAGAGTAGCACAAATTACCCCCCGCTGGCCTGAGCACGACTGCGTACACCTGAGTAAGGATCAGCGATGCACCCGGGTGCGTGTGATGAGGGGAATGCATGCTTGCTTTTGGATGAACCTTCCAGCGTCCGGCATGCTTGTCGGAGGACGGAGCACCTGTAGGTGGCTTTGCCATGGGCTGACATGAGCACAGCTTACTGGCGAGATGTGAAGGCTCCAGGGACTGCGCTGTGGAGACATGATCTTTCATCTGCCGCCACTGCTCCCTTTCCTGCTTTCCTTCCTGGTTATGCTCAGATCGCCACTTTTGCTCTTTCATCACTTCCTGTGTTCTGAGGCCCCGTCAGATGGGAGGTAATGACCCTGGTCGTCCGTTTGCTAGCTCGTTTTGCCCTTTGGGCTCACAGCCCAGTGAGACTCGCCTCCGCACCTGTCAGCTTTTGTTTCATCAGGGCCTCGTTGGCACTGCTTTGGCAAGGGGCACACAGGAGAGACACTCATGGGCTCAA